CCGGTTCTATGGAAGTATTTGGAAAGAAATCCAAGAAGATGTGCACGAGGTATTTCCATTTGCCGATAAAGACAGAGACAACAAGATTACTTTGGATGAATTTAAAAAATTTATGAAGAACATAACACCAGGTATAAGCGATGAAAAAGTCAAAGAAATGCTCCAACAGGCAGACAGTAGCAATGACGGGACGATAAGCCGAGATGGTGAGAGCTTTCAATAAACTTCAGTTTATAAGATCTTATCTCTAAGAAAATTGTTAAGCGTCCAAATACATTTTCAGTAGTTAGTTTTATGAAATAAGTAGCCATTAAAACCTATTTTTCGTATCCACATTTTCATTATGGACATAACTCGAGTAGTGGACCAACAAGAAATCATCACAGTACACCTTCTCTTAACACAACAGGTGGCAGCATCTATAGGTTCTATTTTGGCAATTATTTGCACATATCAAATTCTCTAGATTATATGTAACATTGATATCTCCTATTTGAATGAAAATTCAGCCGTATGCATCAATGCTTGGTTTTGCAATATTTCCCTAAAAATATATTGTTGCTAAGTATTCTTAAATACTGTGGGAGAAGACACATCGCTTAATTTTTGCTTGGATAGAGGAGAGCGTGTCTCGTATGGATAGTTCTGACTATGTAAGTAAATGTTTCCCAAGCGGCTTTTGACATCATTCATTGTGTTTCAGAATTCTGTCATATCCTCCTACGCTATTTTCAACCACCGCCTGCTGAGGACTTACACCAATCGGGACATTCGTTTAAAAAGTTTTTTAGGTGGGCAAGAGGCATTTTCTCTTCACTGGCGCAATAGCTCTAAAGCTAAAAAACTTTATTGTCCAACTTAAAAATTGTTCATGGAAAAAAAACTATTGATAAACGTGTTATACTACTTGTGATTTCCACTCTGATTTCCCTGGTTATGTTCATACATTTTTGTTCAGGTAGGAAAACAAGAATAAAATACGGGAAAACCAATAATTTGAGTTAGTAATTTTGTTACAGCCTTTCTAATACTTTTTCTAATTTAAAGACTTGGTAAAGCAGCTCTTTTTTACAGAGAATAACATAATAATAAGTTATGATATAATAATAATAAGAGAATAACGTAACAAAGGGTAAGTGGTTGATTCCCCTGTTAGGAAATGTATACACTAGTGTGTGTCTAAAAACAAGAAGAGTCTATTGGTTGTTGCCTTGGGTTTGCTATTTGATATAAAATTAAAATGATGTAAAATATGTATCAAAAGAACAATTTTACAATTTGACAGTATATAAACTATAGTTCGGCCGCTTAGAAAACGACCTGCGCGCTAATGCTAAACCAATGCTGGAGGAGGTCGATTTCTAAGCGGCCGAACTATAGTTGTTCTGCCAGTGCCTCGGCACGGGAAGAGAATGCAGAGAAGATATGGTGATTCTTCACCACCTCGTCCAATGCAAACTGATGGATGATCCCATTTGGATATTTTTAATGCAATAAAAAAAATATTTGGCCGATAACTAAAAATAATCATAGTTTTGCTAGTGTCCAGCAACACTCATTATCGCAGAGTTGCAAAAAGATAGTATGTAATGAAATCACATTTGATTAAGCAGGCGGCAAAAAGCTGTTTACCGGACTAAATGCATGTAAACTAGTACATTACGTTACTAGTCCGGAATATAGGTGTTTACCGGAAGTGTATGTAGGCTAAATCGTGAACATCTCCGCGTTTATGGAGACATCATCGTCATCACATTAGTTCACGGTACCATCAAAAACATCTCCCGTTATACCGAAGACATCTAATGTGATCGTGGACGTCATCGTCGTCAATTGAAAGTTCAAATGGAAAAAATTTTCTTAATTGTGAAACATAATGTTCTCATAATAAACTAAATACATTTAAACGTGGCTTAGAATAAATGCAATGCCATCTCGCCAAACCCAAAGATCATAAAATAAAAACAACAGAAAGCTATATCATAAATACAAAGCTGAGGATGTAAAGCATGTGGCCGACAAACCATCCTAAGTGGGGGCCTCGTTATATTTAAAGAGGTTGGTTTCCTTTTTGCCACCTTGCCTTGTTTTGAGTCTTGTGAGTAATTGTAACGTTGTTAGTTTTGTAATGCTAAGTAACATCATGAACTCAAAATCCGTAATAACCAATCCAATGACACAATACTACAACACGTTGAATTTGTAAATTATCTTTTCCTACAGTCATCCGACAAAGTTGGCTTCCTTGTACTGTTTATAGTACAGAAAGCTGCTAATTGCTGCATATTTATACTTTGCCGTACGGTTTATACTTTGTCGTACGGTTTATACTTTGCCGCACATCAGGATTCCAACGAAACAACACAAAAAAGCGTGGTTCTATTATGCACGTAATCCGTGTACGCTTGGAAATAGTTTGGCAACACTTTGGCAAGATAATAATACTATGAGCAGCTGATTGACTATTATAACTACGATGTAACCTGTAATTTCGTGTTTATCGTTTCGGTATTTCTGAACTTTCTGGACTTTTCTTTTAAACGTTTTTAAAACATTCCTACGATCTTAATAAACATGAAAATACCTTTAAATCAATTTTTTAGGCGCGGAAACCACTTAAAATTACAAAAACATACGGAACTATATTCTCAAAACGCGGAGCACATTTCTTGCCGAGGAAAAATAGCGGAGTGATACGGACGGCGGGTACTACTTTCTCTAGGGCACCATTTGTGTTGCCAGCTGAACCTAAAAACGTGTTGTATAGTGTTTGAAAGACTAATTATTTATATGCTTTATAGTGACTGTAGGAAAAATATAATGTGTAACACGAGTGAAAAAGGCCTTTGCTGCACTCGAGAACATTCCGCACTCACCTGCGGCTCGTGCGTAAACATTGCTCTCGTGTGCAGCAAAGTGCCACTTTCACCACTAGTTACACAAATAACTATTTCTATTTAGAACGCCACCTGATTTATAGTAGCCATCTGACTTTATGAAAAGTAAGCTCTTATATAACTCAATATTAACAAACTGTAAATTAAAGAACAATCAAGAGATTAAAGACTTCATTGTGATTTCTCAGCTATCAACATTGTTTGATTATTCTAAACATTGGGTTGTTGGATAGGAAATCTAATTTTTGGGGATAATAAATTGTACTTGGCATATTTTTATTAAATTGAAGATTTTTAGTAATTTTAATATATAAAAATTTAAATGTTCGTTATTTTGAAAAAAAAAAACAGTTTTAAATAAATAAATAAATAAAAATGCCTTTATTTACGAGCGAGTTTCATGATACATGTTTTTCAAACTAACTCAAGTCACTAAATCTAAACTATCCTAATATATTTACATAAGTATATACAAGAAATGTCAAACAGAATGATTTAAAACATAAATTTTACACTTGTTTTTTTCATTGCGGCCCTGAATGAGTTATAAGATTTCGAACCCTTAATCACTTGAGGGAGGCCATTGTACAACTGCGGGCCGAAATATGAAAAAGACCTTCTTCCAGCCTCAAGCCTAACTTTAGGAAGCACCAAATTGCTTTCCAGCAGAAAATACGTCACTAGTGATATTATATTCCTTGAGTTTATAACAACACGAGGAACAATACTTGGTTATCTTACTTCTTCAATGTATATGGTTCCGCTAGCTACAAACCATAGGCATAATTATGTAGTGTTATACTCGTATGTGTAGCATGAGATAGGAAAGTTTATGTACTTTCACTATCTAATATCTTGTGATTCAAAAAGGCCTTGATACGTTTAAGATATAATACAAATTATAATATTAGTGTACGATAATGGTTAGCTAAGTACATATCAAAGCAATAAAATATTGCTACGAGATTGAATATAATTAAGCGTATTGCAATTGACTTGCCTAACCCAATTATCACGGATGCACATAGCAGTTTCATGCTATGTTGTCAGTATAGGCAGGTTAATAGTGACTGTTTAATTTTCATTTGCATTATGATCATTATAATAATCGTGAATCTAATGTGCGTCTAAACATTAGTAAATTCAATTTAGAAAATGTCTTCATAAAGATTTAAACAAAAGGATAAAAGACATTGAGAAATTTTAATATCATATAAAGTAACTTACTAATGATGGACAAACTAATTCCAGGCATGCAATTGATTGTCTGTGTGGTCGAATGGTTATAGTCCTCACCTTCAAATCGGAAGTTCGCTAGTTCGATTCCATGCAAGATCGTTTCCAGACCCAGATGCTATTTTTCATTGGGCTACGAATTAATGATGCTATCTAACAAAAAGGTCGACGTTAGGTAGTAACAGGACCAGGGTTTGGACCGTTCCCTTTCAAAACGTAAAAAATGCCACTGGCGTAGAAACACACAAAACAAATAAAATAAATGCAGTTATTAATTGTCAATTGACAATTTGTTTACATTGAAATACCAACTACATCACTTCATAGGTTTTGAAAACGTGGATATTGAATAGTATAAATAAATTGAATAGTATAGTAGTTTTCGCAAGGAAAAAAACTATCCTGAGTACATGTTATTTCTTTATAATATACAACAATTTATTCACTTCTTTATCAAAACAAAAACGTGTAAGACTGTTAAAATATATTCTTAGCAATGGACAGAACATTAAAATAAAACATACAACCGCTGGAATAGTCGGAATAGTTCAATTACAGATTAAGCTGTAAAGAAGCACTATTCAAACTAAAGCAAATTCACAGCGGGAAATTTGCAAAAATATTTGTAACGTTGATATGTTATGTATATTTTCAAAATTATTTCAAAATCGTTAAAAATATCCCACATGTGCACATAAACATAGGATCAAAGATTATAAAGAAACATTTCGTGTTATACATAAAATTAACTCACACAAATAATGAAAAACTACTATTTATTGTTATGATCAATACATTTAATAAATTACGTCTTCATCTTTTATAAGTTATTACAACATTGAAATAGTAAAAACACGATTTCAAATTTTAATAACGATTGGGGATTTCTTCTTCGCAGAAATACCGCTGCTTCTCACCGCAGTAGCCGTCGTTCCACTGATACGGTTTGCCGCCGGGCCAAAGAGGTCGGTTGCTCTCTTCTGGAATGGCTTCCACACAGACCTCCTCAATTCCTCCCATAATGTTAGGCTCTCCAGGCAACCAATCAGGCAGCTCCAGCTCAGTTCCATCCATCCACTTAAACTTTCTGTCTTCAGATGTTAAACCAATCCACAGTTCCGCGTTGCGAGAGCCTGGAACAAATTGTAGGGATAGACCATGATTGTAGTATAACGTTTATCATGGAACTAAATAGGTACGGAGGTAAAGTTTTATGATTGCATTTTGGATCAAAACTCGTTTTTTGGCTAGACTGTGAAAGAAGAGTCCACAATCAGTGCCTATTTTGTTCTATTCACTTAAATTAAATATACATTTTCATTTACCTAGTCTATCTTTCTACCTGAAATTGTTTATAATTATTGATAGATCTATGTTTACCGATCATCGTGATGTTTATAGTGTACTCGTATACAGATCGCTTACTGTGATCAATGAATAAAACTAGGTTCCCGTGCTAGTAAAAACTTGACGAATATTACTGAATATTCAATACCTGAAAGATTGCCGAGAGAATATGTTAAAAGGGGCGGGTAGTAAAAACATCAAATTTATGATACCACATTTAAAGTATTGTTTTATATTTCGCTACAAAGCTAAATAAGTTATTAGTCATATGTATTCTCTGTATACACTAACTTGGCGTCTGGACCCTTGACTACCTGCGACCGGGCCGGGACCGTCCCTTGCTCGCTCACTTCTTGAGCAGCTGTTTTCTTAATTAGTCACCTAGTCGCACCCCCACTGCACTTATTACTTTTTTTTGCGGGGCGGAATTTTACATTTTTATCTGTACGAGCAAAAAGTCCATGAATAAATAAGTAAAATGATACCAAACTTGACCATATTCTTATTATGTTTGTTGAACCTACAGGCACAGACAATGGAATAAACATTAAAGTATTATATTGTCTGTGCTACAGGCTCTATATGTACAGTAGCTACTGAGGAATAGAAAATTTATTAGGGATAGAAATAAAACTGCAGAAATAAAACAATATCGTTATGTATGAATTATTATTAATTGAATCAGACGTGCACCGCGAATCTGCAAACACAAAAAAGGAATAGTGATTTATATATTTAAATTTCCTAATATTGTTAGGGGAATAAAGTTTAACAAGTAAAAACATGTAAAACGTGTTGAGGTTATGTAGTTTGTCACAACCTAATTCATATGTTTCATTGAGTAGATCTAACCAATCACATTTAAGATTATTGTAAACGTGAAACACTTTTAAACCGTACGTTTCCCTCCGTAAGTTAGTATACGTAATGTTATGTGTTAAATGGTAAAAAAAATAATCGTAAATGCGAGCGAAAGTAGCATTTGGCTTGAAGTGTCAAAATTGCGTCATTTTCTACGGGTCAAATGAAACTTAAAATTAATCATTCAATCATTATGTTTCTAAGGATATGTCAATTGTCGATTAAAAATTACAGAATCAAGTGCATGTGTTGAGTAAATGTTTTTAAGCTAATTAAATGTCTGTATAAAGTGTAGGCCTACGATGGGCCTACCGTAGTTTTTCGGCAGATTATACATATTTCATCAATAGCATTTCAATACCCAATACGCGATTAATCTAATGGTGATATCCCACGTCAGAATCGTCGTGGCTCGTCAGAGGTCTTAGGACGTGAATCACTCATTTCCCGGAAGACATGGGGGTTGGTTTAAAGATATAACAATATCAACGGTATTCATAATATGAATAATTTAAAATAATTTAAACTTAAGGTTAACTTAACGGAATATGGTCAAGTTTAGTACCGCTTTTCTTAAAATTTCATGAACTTTTTGATTGTGCAGGAAAAAAATTAAAATTCCGTCCCGCACAAAAAAGTTCATAATTGCAGTGAAGGTGCTACTAGGTGACTAATTATAGAAACAGCTGCTCAACAGTGGACGAGCAAGGGACGGCCCCGGTCCGTCCGCAGGTAGTCAAGGGTTCAGACGCCAAGTTAGTGTATACAGAGAATAACTGCTAGACTAGGTTTTACAATCAACACTACTAATAAAAAAAAAAAAAAAAAAATAGCATTTTTATCTCACCCAAACTTATTGTATATCTTGTAACGGCTTCTTCAAACTTTTTCTGCTGTTCTTGATTGTATACAACAGCTAGTTTGTGTCCCTTAGCTTGGCAGTTGTCACTTGCTTCTTGCCATGTGACCTAGAAATAAATAAACAATTAAAACCATCTTCCTTGTAGAAACAAAATCATCCTTTTATTACGTTCATAATATTGTTGCTTGACAAATAATATAATTAATATTTCGAATGCTAAAGTGAAAAACAAGTTTTTATTTCAATACCAATGTTAAAGTGTTGGTAAATAGTTAACGCTTAGTACTGTATTTACTCCATAGTTTTGTTGATGACCAAATTCAGAGACCCTACTAACTCTTTTCCGTGGATGATATTGTTGTAAATAAATCTGGAAAGCACTTTTAGTCCAGGAAAACTACAGTTAATATATCTTTATCCGTGGAAAAATGGCAAAAGTGTGTTTTATACTTATACGTTACTGCTTTATAACATATCCAAAATCAGACAAATTCCGACCACGGAAAACCACCAATAAATCATTTTAAAAATGGTGGACATTGTGTTAAAGACCGCAACTCAAAATCTAACTTAGCATATAAGTTTAAGATTCATTTATTTTGTTTCCTTTTTTTTTGTATATTAGCTATTTTGTTATTTTATTGATATGTAGGATAAATAATCATGGAAGTTGACGATGACATTGTTGATGTGTGTGTGATATGTAATCAGAAATTATATATTGTAGGATACACTGTAAATCTTTCACAAAAGGGGGCAAATAGCATAAATGAAGCAAGCCGATTCCGCAAAAGCAATGTATTTGCAACTTCTGGTGAAAGTGTTCATGTATTGGTGTCGAAAAACATTTACGGATAAAAAGAATATTGGCATTTTAAAACCAAAGGGTAGCTTTGAAGAAGTAAAAAGGAAAATTGTGCGCTTGATTGATGGCCCGGTTTCAATTACTACTCGCTGTTTGTTTTGTGGAAATTTGGTGGCCTTCTTATCCAATCATAAGCCAAAGACTGAACATGTGAGAGTAACAACCACACAGTTTGTTGGAGCCATAAAAAAATGCTGTGAACAACGCTCTGATGAGTGGTCATTTAATGTACGCAGCAGGTTGGCATACTGCTCAGAAAACCTTGTGTCTGCCGGTTGTGTCTATCATCAATTATGCAGTACCAATTTTAGTAGTTGGAGAAATATTCCAAAAGAATACTGCACTAACAAGAACTCTTCAGAAAAAGGGCGGCTAGCTAATGAAGAACAGTATCAGGTATTTCTTCGTACTTATGAATCTTTTGACGAAAAATTATGAAGAGCAGATGGTTTTGGGGACCATCTTCTTCAATTTCTAAAATGGGAAAATATCTTCAGGGTGGAAAGAGCCGTGCTCATGATCGTAAGTACATGAAGATAAAGCTTTTGGAATTCTATGGAGAAAACATTATAATATCTAGTAGTGTAGGGAAATCAGACATAGTAACGTTACATGATACAACTAATGGTATTCTTCGATGTTACCATAAAAATACATCACATTCTCGTGATATTGAGTTGCAGAAAATTCAGTTAATAGAAGCTGCTGCAAAAATAATAAAAAGTGACGTCAAAACAAAACCCTTACCAATCAATACAAAATGAGTCGATGAGTACCCATAAACTAACAGTTGAAAATGCATTGAATTTCATTCCTAATAGATCAAAATTGCTGTTATCTAAATTGTTTGTTGGAAAATAAAATTGGTTCTGTGTGTCAGTCCATCATGCAATCTATCCACCCTAGAGCATTACTATGTCATTTACAAATTGGTCTGTCTGTTCAGCTTCATCATAATTATAGATCAAGGTGACTTATTGACGTTCTACACAATCTTGGATTTTGTTCATCATACGCTGAAGTATCTAAATTTGAAAAAAAAAACACAGCGGTTTCAGGTGCTTGCACTTCTTTTAATGTTGCTGAAGACACAACCCTTTTGCTAGCAGCAGGCAATGTGGATCATAATATTTGTATTTTGGACGGTAAGAATAGGCTTCCGTTCATGGTATGGGTATGATTGCGGCAATTACTCCAAAACACGATCTACCCTACTGTGAAAGGGGATAATGTTGGTGATATTGTCATCAAAAAGTTGACATTTTGGAATACAAACCTTCCAAAACCATGTTGGGAAACATATTATTCTGTAAACTTCTAAAATTACCAAATAATCCGCTTAATAAACTCTGTCCATTGTGGCAGATCTCAAGAAGAAAAACCAGGTCTAAGTTGGTCTGGAGCTATGCAGATAATGCATTTAAAATCCCAGGGAAATCTTCCATTTTATTTCTTCCTAAAATTGATATGGCAGCGGGAGACATGAGTTGTATCTTTTCTACACTAACATACCTTAACAAATTAGCATACAACTATAGTTTTTTTTTTTTTAGTGTAGTTACTTTTGATCAGCCCTTGTTTTGGAAAGCTTCTCAAATCATGAACACTGAAAACAAACTTAAAGACATCTATATATTAATACGCAATAAGTTTTCTTTTCACAGTCATAACTCGATAACGGCTTGACGGATTTTAACGTTTGAGGTGCCAAATTAAAGGTATTTTCACGTAGATGTGCAAATACGTCTCAACATATTAAGAAAGGGCATCACTTAAGTACAGTTAAGAGCTAAAGTTTGGGAACGGTGGCGCTATCTGTTGACATTAGATAAAACTCAATTCCCTTTGTTTACAACTATATACAGATATGGGAGTAGTTTGAAATATTTTTTAAAGTAAACCACAGACGCAAAGCCGGAATTTATATCATATAATATATTAAAACGTGACAGGGTTTTTTTTATTTCACGATTCTGAATCAACCACTCGACGGATTTTCATGATTTTTGTGTTGAAAGAAAGATAAGTTTGAGAACTAGGGAATGTCGAAGATAATTTTAGTTTAGGGCCCCAGTTTTTTAGAAATAAAGTTTTAATTTTTGAAAAGTCTAGAAGCCGACGCTAACATTCTAAACTAGCTTTTGGTATAATTTGCTTAACATAACAGCTGTAAACATTCAGCGTTTGTGACACAAATTCAGAATTTGGATAAAAATTATAAGACATACTTAGGGTTGACTTATTTATACTAGGTATGTGTAATGCTAATCATTGATACGTTCAATTCTTCGGTAAGAGGATGACAGATTAATTAAATATACATAGTAAAATACTAGGATGTTAAAATTATTTTTTTAAGTAATCTTTGTAACCTTCGGTTTGTTTTAGTGAAATATAATTTGTTTTAACTAACAGCTGGTTAAATATAAAAATACTCAATAGAACTATGAAGTTATTTTATTTACTCTGATTTGTCATTGATTATAGGAAATAAGTAAGATTAGTAGTGATAATTAGACCACCGAGATAAGTATAATACCATTGATGTATACGAGTCAAGGCTCTGTACACGAGTCTTAAAAATACCCCCGCCACAGCAAACCTGCAGACTAAGCGAATTTCCATTTGCCTGATTAGATTTAGACTAAAATGTCTCCTTAAAAATATCACATTAATTCCCTATTTAAATAGCATTAGTTTAACGAGTAATTAGGTTTGCTGCAACAGGGAGGGTAAAAAGTCGTTTTTTTTTTAAATATTAATAGTTTCGTATGAAATGAATGCCTTTTCCAAATTTGATCAAAATATGCTCATAAACAAGCAACCTACAACAGTTTACAATTTTATCCATAAGAATAACATGGGAATTTTAAATTTACAATTTTTTTAATTTTCTCCGTAGCCATTAGGCGCATAATAACACTTCAACATACCAAATTATTTGTTTTTTTAAGCTCTACAAAATGGTTTGAAAAGAAGTTGCTAAATGTTATGTTTTTAGGGTCAAATATGGGAAAAACAAATTTTTACCCTATAAAACCCTCTATAACCCCTGTTCCCATAGTTCGATCATGCTGGTTCGCGAACTCGTTCGAATAAACGTAGGTTTACATGTTTGTACCAAATTTCATCAAAATCGGATGACTTTTGCTCGAGTTATTGCGCTAACGGACACATATATAAATATATATATAATATATATATATATATATATATATATATATATATATATATATTAATATATAAATATATATATATATTCATTTGAACGGATGGTGTTTTTGGCCTCTAGGGCCCTCAAAACGAAAAAGTAAATCGGTCTCGGGTCCAGGTCTTTTATGAGTACTACGGTAATAGCTTATTCCCTATATGGGAAATTCGCTAAGAGGATATGCAAATTATTTTACTGCTCAGCGTTTTGAGGAAAGATTAGGAAAATGACTATTTTTACATGTTTTAATTCAACTTGGTAGCTTTTTGTTAACAATTAATATATCACTGCTTAAACTTTGTTTGAATTAGGCCCGGAAATATAGATGTCATAAAAAAGAAGATCAAGAATCATCAGGAATCACGATTTTAAATTGCCACCACAACCTCAGACGGGTTTTATCTAAAGATATACAGATGGATGACATAGATTGAACACAACGTCATCATTGACCTAGGATACTGCAATCAGACTAACCATCCTTTTATGAAATATACAAAGATGTTTGGCGTGTGTTCAGTTGTGGTTACGTTTGGAGGCGCTGATGTAGGCAAAATATCACTTTTATTTCAACTAAATATCTTATAGTTTAAATAAATGAATATGTGAATTTATACATAATTTGCCTCTAGGATTGATTTATTGACATAAAATGAGGTTACTAACCTGTCGTCAATCAGTCCTCTATTGTCGTGGATGACTATAGTTTCGGGGTTAAAATCACATTTTCAAATCTTCTCTTCAGTCGTCATATGTGAAACATATTCTCTTGCACAAGCTGTCGTAAAAATTACTTCACACATAGTCATAAACACATACGAAAACATTTATAATTACAAATCATGTACACGCGCGTGAGGCCGGCCAAGGACAAAACCATACTGCGGGGTTTGATAAAAGTGTAGGTTAGCCGATGCCTACTTGATGGTGTTGACCTTGGGGGAGGGGAATCAGCTGTTTATCTCCTCTATTGTTCTGTAGTTTTGTCACTCTGTCAAATAAAATGTTTGATCCAAAATTAAACTTCTCGTTCAAACTATCATTTGGGGAATTTTTGATTGCTTTGTAAATTTCAAAGGTTTCGAGAACGTTCATTTTGTTACCTTTATTACATTTGTGTAATATCTCTAAATTATCTATGCAACTGTTGACATTGTGATTTTCGTTCATTAGGTGTTCTGCAAACTTCGATTTTTGTGTTTGCAATTTAGGCTTGGGAAGGTGTTCTACATACCTTTTTCGAAATGAACGACCTGATTGACCTATATATACTTTGGGACAATCGTTGCATGATAATCTGTACACGCCAGGTGTTTCAATGCTGTTACTATTATCAGGAGGGGATGTGTTCAATCGTTGTTCTAGTTAATTGGTAGTTTTACATGCCAGAATGATGTTTTGTTTTTCATTTCATTTTTTAAGGTGGAATGTAGATTATTGCCAAATTCAATGGATACGAATTTAGAATTAGTTTCATCTGGAGACTTTTTGTTCTTCTGTTTATTAATTATCTTATCTATAATGCTGCTTGAGTAACCATTATTTACTGCTATGTATTTTAGAATTGTGTACTCAATGTTGTAATCTTCTTGGGTCATTGGCACCTTTAAGAGTCTATTCACAAAGCTATTATATGCGGCCATTTTATAAAATTGCGGATGATTTGAAATCAATCAGCTGTAAGCTATTTTTAAGACTGTGGTTGTTGTTCAATTTTATGTTGCTCCGAAGTATCCTGTCTAGTGTTTTTGATATTTTGTATGATGGTGCAGTGGTAAAATTTACTAAAGGTCTCATTGGAGCAACATAGAACATAAAATTGAACAACAACCACAGTCTTAAAAATAGCCTAGAGTTGATTGATTTCACTAAAAATATGAAGATAGAAAATAGACACACCCTAGCCTCACTAGACATAGTAAACCTGTACACAAATATCCCAGTTCAGAGAACTCTTGAAATTACAAAAAACAACCTGCTAACTTACTCTGAACTTGAAGCCGATGCCATAAATGAGTTAATTAGTTTGCTTAAAATAGTTTTGGAACAAAATTACTTTTCCTTCAACGGAAAATTCTATCTACAGGGAGAAGGGTTAGCTATGGGCTCTCCACTGTCTAGTATTATTTCCGAAATTTACCTCAACAGTTTTGAAAATGAACATATTTTCTCCAAAAATAACAAATTTGCTAGTAAAATTAAATTCTATAAAAGGTATGTTGACGACACTATTGTTATATTCAATAGAAATGTGAGACTGTTAAACTTGTTCAATAATTATTTGAACAGTATAGGCCTACATAATAATCTACAATTCACCTTGGAGACTGAACAGAAACACTATCAACTTCCTTGATCTATCATTAATCAAAAACAACAATAAACTTATATACAGAATTTACAGGAAACCCACAACCACCGACCATACTATTCATGCCACTTCAAATCATCCGCAATCTCATAAAATTGCCGCATATAATAGCTTTGCGAATAGACTCTTAAAGGTGCCAATGACCCAAGAAGATTACAACATTGAGTACACAATTCTAAAATACATAGCAGTAAATAACGGTTACTCAAGCAGCAATATAGATAAGATAATTAATAAACAGAAGAACAAAAAGTCTCCAGATTAACCTAATTCTAAATTCGCATCCATTGAATTTGGCAATAACAAACAACACTACATTTCACCTTGAAAAATGAATTAAAAAAACAAAACATCATTCTGGCATGTAAGACTACCAATAAACTAGAACAACAATTGAACACATCCCCTCCTGATAATAGTAACAGCCTTGAAACATCCGGTGTGTACAGATTATCATGCAACGATTGTCCCAAAGTATATATAGGTCAATCAGGTCGTTCATTTCGAAAAAGGTATGTAGAACACCTTCCCAAGCCTAAATTGCAAACACAAAAATCGAAGTTTGCAGAACACCTAATGAACGAAAATCACAATGTCAACAGTTGCATAGATAATTTAGAGATATTACACAAATGTAATAAAGGTAACAAAATGAACGTTCTCGAAACCTTTGAAATTTACAAAGCAATCAAAAATTCCCCAAATGATAGTTTGAACGAGAAGTTTAATTTTGGATCAAACATTTTATTTGACAGAGTGACAAAACTACAGAACAATAGAGGAGATAAACAGCTGATTCCCCTCCCCCAAGGTCAACACCATCAAGTAGGCATCGGCTAACCTACACTTTTATCAAACCCCGCAGTATGGTTTTGTCCTTGGCCGGCCTCACGCGCGTGTACATGATTTGTAATTATAAATGTTTTCGTATGTGTTTATGACTATGTGTGAAGTAATTTTTACGACAGCTTGTGAGTAGAGGAATTTAGCGGCTCCGGCGGGAGTGAGTGGCTTGAGCGGCAGTGAGCGGCTGACGTCACACGACGCCGCCCCCGCCCCCGACACCGCCCCACCCCCACCCCGACGCCACCCCCGACGCCGCCCCCCCTCCCCCGTCGCTAACCCCTACCACCCTCGGGCAGGTTCAAGGTCATCCTTTGTTGTCTGGAACCACCCTACGCATCGTGGGAGGTCTCCAAGCCAACCCTCCCTACACCATCACTCACTGTCAGCCGCAGCTGCTCCCCAACACCTGCGCTCCAAGCGGCCCCCCGCTCCTCCCTTGTATTCTTTGTTCTCAACATAGCGCACACTTATTTACCACCAATAGGATGTTAGCTTATTTTGACCAATCAGAGACCAGTTTTTTTCTCCGCATAGCAACAAGTCGCTCGTCTCACGCTCCCCCGTCAATCTCTATCCACTATCCAGTCTGCTCCCAGCTACCACAGTGATTAGACGTATTCGTGACTCTATTAAATTGAGTAATTTATCCATCACGAGTTCGCGATTTGTGTCATCATTGGATCATCACAATAATAATTGTAAGTATTTTATTATTAAATAACAATTTTTCTTTTCATTATAAGTGTGAACCATTATTAGAAGTGAACTAAGATTATTAAATATCACATTTCAAACTACGTTTAATAGTATTGATAAATGTAAGCATTTTATTATTACATTTATAAAAATAATCATTTTAGTTTTGTGAAGTAGTAGTGGGAAACAATAGTAATTCATACAACTAATTATCAAAGATAGTATTTAAAGTGGTTACTATATTTAAATTTCATGAATTAGTACTGTAGTGGGGAAATGGGACATTCCCACCCGTCACATTAAATATTTAAAATATGTTATTGAAAGTGATTGTACATTTACATTTTGTACATTAGTAGTGTGGAAACAAACATTTTATCACGTATTATAATTATCACAGATAGTACTCAAAGTGATTACTACATTTCAATTTTGTACATTAGTAGTGCGGAAACAGACACTTCATCACAAATTATAATAAACAAACAAAATATTTAATGTAATTATTACATTTAAATTTTTGTGCATTAGTAGTAGGGTAACACACATCTCCAGCTATCATACTACGTATAAAATTTAGTATTTAAAGTGGTTGTTATATTCAAATGATTTTTATTTACATTCGGTGTATTAGTAGTGTACAAACAGATATTCCATCACATATTAAAATTATCTGTTGTACTAACAGAAAAATATTTGTGTGCAATAGTAGTGGGAAATAGATTATTTAGTCAGTACACTAATCACATTTCGATGATTCAGATTATGGAGAATGTCCTAGAACGACCATACGTGTGCGCCATTTGCGGCAGCAGCTTCAGGCTGAAAAAACATGCTGTTGAGCACGTCAGGACAGTTCATAGAAACGTCAACGATTTGCATAATTGTCCCGACTGCGGTCGTGCATTCAATCGGCGGAGAAACCTCTTACGTCACCAACGCACGTTCACGCTCCAACGCCGGCAGTAGCATGCCCACTACCTGCGCCTAGAGTAGAGCCATTGCCTGAACCCATACCAGGACCATCATCAGCCCCATATACAACACCACTACAACCAACAGTTCAACGTGAGGAGATCCGTCCAGCAGGTATGTATTGTTCTTCTTTTGTTTACTATCCTTATCTTTGATATTTACTAACAGGTAATTACATTATTCAAAAAATAAACCAACAAACTACTTTTAGAAGTTGTTGTACTTATATATTTTGTTTCTTAAAACAAACTAAATTATATCCATTAAAAATATTTAAAAATCCTAAACTCTACTAACTATTTTTTTTTTACCTAAAACCCAAGTGAAATAAAGATTACTAATATATATCATTAATATAATATAGCTAAATATGATTCTGAAACAGTAAATGAAATTAGGAAAAAAACATGTAAAATAATCATTTATATTTATCCGTCTGTGTAATATATGTACTAATGTTTTTTCAGGACTATTCGTGTGCGAGACGTGTGGGAAGACGTTCTCGAAAGATAATCTACAACGTCATACCCGATATCGCCGCTGTCATCCAGTTGAGCTCACCTCAGCACTACCAGGCTTTGGTGGACAACAACCTCCACCTTCCCCAGCCACGTCATCCGGAGGAGAAGATGACGATGAAGCGCCAATCATTTCATCCGACCTGGCACCAGAGGGCTTCGCAGAAGTCGAGACTGCATTCCGCGGGCGGTTAAAGACATACCGTCTGATCGAACCTGTGGATGAAACCATCACACTTCAAGAGTTCCTCAACAATGTGCGTGATCAGGTAATCACACTCATGCGCAATTTGTTAGCCATCATTCATGCCCTTAAGGTAAATCTCTGGATTGAATGTGAATTTGTTAATATTCACGGTGAAACGTGTAGGCGAGTATTTAAAACTTGCAACGTAGTGCTGCTCCAAACATCAGATGTTGATGAAATATGTAGGGAGTTTATTCTAAAACTTCTGTTGGAAAAGGAGACATGCGAGCTACGAGGCTCGGGATGGAGCTTTGTTAGGGTTATGACTATGGAAGTGAGAGTTAATGTTTATAATCCTCTCAGAGGTAGCTCCTACATCCCTCTGCCACAGGAAATAGCCGCGAAACAAGCTGTACTTAATGTGCTAAACGATGCGGACGAAAGGTGTTTTGAATATGCCATTTTATCCAAATTTATAGACAATCCTTCCCGCGAACAACTTCGTCCAAATATGTTCACTGCGGAGGTTCGTGCAAAAGCAAATTTAAATTTTTATAATATTGAATTTCCAACAAAATTAGATCAGATCCGCACGTTTGAGCGCAACAACCCCGGCGTTAGCGTAAATGTGTACGGTTTGGACAGTAAGAAGAAGAAGAATAAGACCAATGGTAGGATTGAAGACAAAACATTTGTATATCCACTCCGTGTCGTCGACCAAGAATTGGTTAATCACTTTGATTTACTATTTCTGACAAATCAAAGAACAACGCATTTTGCATTTATTAAGGATTTTGAGCGGTTGGTAACTAGTCAGTTGACTCGTCGTAAACGTGTGATTTTTATATGTAAACGCTGCTTTGCATATTTTGACAACCAACCGACTAAATTAGGGCTCAGAGGGGCGGAGCGATTAGAAGAACATAAACGCTACTGTTCAAAACACGCACCACTGAGAACTGACCTTGCAGAAGAAAAGGAAATTAAATTTAAAAATTATGAGCGAACTCAGCGTATTCGTTTTACGATATACGCAGACTTTGAGTGTGCACTTGTACCACACAAAGCTGACCAACCTATCGAACCTACACCGACTATAGCGCCGCCTGCTTGGGACCCAGCAGGTAATAGAATAGTAGGGGGAGGTCAGCAAAATGCAAATGCACCTAATAATGTCAGGAATATCCATACACCGTACGCATATGCTTATTACATTCATGACGACCAGAGGGATGTCAACGATGGTGACGCAGATGATGACGACCCAGCCTGCACTACGTTCTCCAAGCTGCGACTATACCGAGGTGAAGACACCGCTAATCACTTCATCAACTCTGTACGGGATGACGTGCGGAAGATTGGTGACATCCTCTATGGACATCGGATACCAAATGATCCCCCACAGTTAACACCACAAGAGGAGATAATATATCAACAGTCTACAGTATGTCATATCTGCAAAAAAGAGTTTGGTCCTGCTGATGAAGACAATAAGGTGAGGGATCATCAACATTCACCACCGTACAGGTTCCGAGGAGCGGCACATCGGTTTTGTAACCTCCGGTACAAGGAACAAGAACAAGTGAACATGTACCTGCATAACCTATCCAACTATGATGCACACTTTATTGTCAGAGAGCTCGCAGTGGATAAAGGTGATATTGATGTGCTCGCCAACACCGAGGAAAAATACATTACCTTTTCTAAGCGATTCAAACATCCGGGAGCAGGTCGGAGGAAAAGCATCAAACTACAGTTTGTCGATTCATACCGACTGATGTCAAAATCACTAGCAATATTGGCATCAATTCTTCCAGCTGATAAAATGAGCATAACAAGAGCTCGCTACCCGGATCAAGAAGAGTTTGACATGCTACGTAGGAAAGGCATTTTCCCTTATGAGCACATTACATCCCAGGATGTACTGAACGAAGAAGTCCTACCACCAAAGCAGGTTTTTGGGAATAATGTGACAGATGATGATTACGCGCACGCTCAGCGTGTCTGGTCCAAGTTCAACTGCACAACCCTCGGACAATATGCTGACATCTACCTACAAACAGACGTACTACTGTTGGCAGATGTGTTCGAGGGGTTCAGGGAGATGTGTCTAACACACTACGGCTTGGACCCAGCACATTATTTAACATTACCTTCATACGCGTGGGATGTCATGTTGTTCAAGACCGGCGTGATACTTGATACCCTTCAAGATGTAGATCAGTATTTATTTTTTGAAAAGGGTATTCGAGGTGGACTCACCCAATGCGTCACTAGACACGTCACCGCAAACAACAAGTTTACCAGGATGGAAAATACAATTGGTGATCGAAACGGTCAGTGCGCATCAACAAGTGAAGCAGATAATGAAGAGAATGATGATGATACATTTTTAATGTACTATGACGCCAATAACTTGTATGGATGGGCAATGTCTCAGCCATTACCTTACGCAAAGTTTGAGTGGCTATCACGTGCGGAATGCGATGACTTGAACATTGCAGAAATTCCATCGGATGGTGAGTATGGTTATATACTGGAAGTGGATCTGGAGTACCCGAGGGATCATGCCATTCATGATAAGCACCGTGACTTACCATTCTGTCCCGAGGTGCGAAAGGCACCAATTTATCAATTACCATATTCATCGGATGACATCACCAACAGCGGTGCGGGAAGATCCAATAAACTTATGGCCACACTAACGGATAAGGAAGAATATGTGATCCATTATCGTTACCTCCAACAAGCTATGGAAAATGGACTACGTCTTTGTCATATCCACAGAGCACTCCGATTCAAACAGTCGCCGTGGTTAAAACCGTACGTGACATTGAATACTGAACTCAGACAGCGTGCCAGCAATAAATTTGAAGTTGAAATGTTTAAGCTGATGGTAAACGCTGTCTACGGCATGAGTCTGCAGAATGTGAGGAAACATCAAAACCTCAAACTAGCAGCCTCCCACAAAATTTACACAAAGTTTGTGGCCAAGGCAAATTTCAATGACAGAGTTTGGTATAACGAGAACCTGGCCCTGCTTCAAATGGGGAAAGTGAGAATTGTATTAGGTAAGCCAGTA